GATCGAAAATAAGTCAAAGATAAATGTACATTACGAAGTTATAAACCTACCCTCAAGGAACGAAGTAAATTTGGCAAGTTAACAAAAAAGTCACTCGCTAAAATAAACAGTTAAAGAAATAAACCTCTGTAAAATAAAACGCGGGATTAAGTTCGTGTTAATTTCATTCAGTTGAAGGACCTAATTAATTCTCATTACGCATTTAAATCTCCATCTCTGTAAATCGGATCAAAAGGGCCAAACACTTACGACAGTCTAGCCGTCCACTAAATCAGCTGTTGACAGGACACATTTCAATCAAAAATCAGCCATCGTGTTACGAAACCATAGTGCCAAACAAAGCCAGGCGGTTCCATACAGGACACCTAAATCTTGGAGAACACCAGCTGAGCAACGTGAAAGAAAAAGGGGAATAGTTATCTCTACTAAATCAGAATAAAATCAGGTAATTAGGTCCATTTGCCTGAGTAAGTGGCAGCACAGTATTTGAGTTAAGAGAGAGAGAGAGTAACAGGTGACCACCTTGCCATCTCAAAACTTGATTTTGAATTTATAGTTTGGAAATTTATACATGTACCGCTGCATAGCAAACATGAACGAAAGTATGTGAGGCGGTAGGAAACGATAACAGGATACGTATTGGGTAAAACGAGCGCCATTGCCACCTTGATTCCTAAAAGTTTCGTCCCGTTCTGTTTAAAGCCGAGCACTTGACGAAAATGCGGATTTCCTATTGGTTGTTAGTGCACGCCAGTCGCGGTCATTGCGTGCAGAAAATAAGTCCCTTTTCGGTTTTTCTCGTGGGCCAGATTCTCAGCTGGATTTCGTGAGCGGTCCCGTACTACGTTAGGTACGCGAAATTTAATGATCAATTTGGATGCACTAATTTATTGTTATTGATTTATTTCGAGTAAATACAAACGGTTTCTTTTTAGCTTCAGGAGCGACCACCTATAAATACCGATGTGTGAAAAAGACCTTTGGCAATCAGCATTTTTAGATGGATTGCAATAAATATAGTAGCGAGAACTTACCAAGTTCGAGTACGTCGTGAAATACTTGTGCAAATTCGGAGTTGTGAGAAAATTGCGGGTTACATGCAATTTTATACGTGTGCGAATAGACGAATTGCAGTGGACTACGGGACGAGGAAAAACTTTTAGCAGTCTGATTTGTAACAGGGCCTTTTATTTCCAAATGATAAAATTTACGCGAAAGAACATTTTCGAATCGGAGGTTTACCTCACCGCGAACCACTGCGTACTCTATCAATAAAGATGAGGTCGTGTTACATCCCGTTGCCGCATGTAAAAAGAGCAAAGTTTCTTTTGTGTCGCCAAATTTTATAAAACGTCTTGCATGGTAAAAACCTTTATTTCTTTAGTAGGTGGTTTCACGAAAAACATTTTCGATGAACACTCCGCTCGGGCTATCATAAGCGCGAGTAAATCCGTATTGCAACCAAGGCAACTTCTTGGCCTAAAGTGGCCGCTGCAATTGCGACCATATCATATCCATGTATCGGTACGTATTGAACATACGAATGTCAAATATCCCGCCGAGCTACTTTCCTGAGAAAGAATCCTCCCTCGACAACGTACGTACTTGGTCGGTCGGTAGTCTATCAGTGTATGGAGCATACTTTTCCATAGTTCGGCTAATACTATTCTGCCCGCGAAATTGAAACCGGCTTGCTTAGATTCGTAATGATTTTGCATTCATCACGAAAGTAACGTTACCGGGGCGCTGCAAAAAGTAATTTTAATATTCCTAAAGCAATTGACCGGTGAAAATTATTGCATGAAACAGATTTTGTATTTAATTCTATCAAACCAGAGCATTAGATTATGTATTTCAGATTTTAAGAGGAGATAAGAGGCAACGTAAGACATTTTTTATTACTGAGCTATCCGTGGGTAAAGTAAGTTTGCAACATTATTCAATGCAAATGAACTATTGAACCCTTGAAAATGTAACTAAACCATTACAAGGGTTAGCCATCGGTTGAATAATACTTTTGTTTAACTTCATTTTAATTCTTAGATGAGGGGTTTTCAACCCCTGGTTTGTAACAATACGTTACAAAATGTAGGTATGAAATAGTGTCGAAATATGTGCGTTCTTTTAAGATGAGTTTGATCGTTCTTATTTTATTTTGCTAAACAAGCATAAACGCTTGAAGTGACACATTGTACAAAAACGAGCACATATTCTCACTTGAAAGAGGCAAAATATTGTAAAAGAACATTTATATAAACCATCGGGCGTGCCATTTAGCAAGGGTCATGGAAGAGTAGTCCTGTTTGAGATCGAAATACAATCAGAGCACTTGACTTGAACAAAACAATATACAATATTTATTGCCAACATTTGTCCTGCTATAAATTTGCTTCCTGATTGATCATCTATCAAATAAGATATAAGGCCTAGAGTGGTTCGAACGCACCTTTGGAAATGATCTCTGTAGAAGCGCAATAAATTTAACATTTTTGGGCAGCTTCTCAGCGTAGGTACCGCAGATAATTACATACTTAAGCTTAATACGCTATAATTAAATTTGGCGAATATGGAAGATACTTTAATTACACGTAATGGAATCCATCTCGCGCTCAATAATGATAATTGTTCTTGCGTAAATGGATCGCTGTCTGTAATAACCACCTGGCTCATTACCTTCCCTTCAACACCCATTTTAACGCTTTTTGGTATAGCTTTGTTACGGAAACGAGATCATTTCATGTCTACGGAACTTCTGATACTCACTCGGTGCGTATAATCTTGCACATTTGTTAATGTTTACTTTTTGTGGGTTTCTGTCAGGCTGTAAATCAGTGCAATTTTAAGAGGGATTGTAGTGGAAGGCCAAGTTGAATACCTCAAAATGACAGAAATCCTATTTATCAGATAAAATTTATAGCTATTCAAAGGAAATTTATAGTTAATAAGGGCTGAAAACTTTTACCGACAGAAAACTTTTACATCCCCAAATTGAGAAAAGAATCGATATTTGCTTTTTTTTGAATTTTGCAAATTAATTCACCCGTTTATCAAACTTTGCTCCCAACGATTACGGGGCGTGGTACGTTTTTTTTCTGAAACCGCTCTATTTACATTTCTGCTCAAAACTAATTACGGTGCAGATTTATTCGCATATGTTAAGCTTTCTGTGTATAGAGCCCACTTGCTCTCTGGTTAAAGTGGACAAATCCGGGTAGCGTACCGGAGAGTTCTTTTTTGTGAGCGTACACGAGTACAGGTATTTTATTTCGACATAGAAAGAGTTTAGAAGGCAAAGAAATCAATATTGCCCGTGTCTCGTCTAGGTCGCATAAATTACATTCTAGGGATCGTAAAATGCCGTAGTAAACTTACTCCAGATATAAAATGAGTGATAAAAGAGGGGCAATGCACGTTGCCATTAAAAGTACATACAGCTTGCAATATTCATTTTTATTACACAAAGTACCACAATTTTGATGTAAAAGTAGGTAAATATTTGAAGTTGTACTCAATCGAGCAGTTATAATTACTCGTTAAACTTTATAATAATGTACCTACCTTCTTGTAGGTAGGTGGGTACGCGATTTGAACTCGGAACTTGAAAGTGGATGAGTTAATTACGTTACTGCTACGACCAATATATCAGATGCAATGTAACTGCTATTATTAGAGTTGTCCAAGTAATAATGGCCATTGGTACCTTCGTAGATTAATTGATCTAGTAATTAGTTGGAGAAACCATCCCATAACGCAGTTATGGCTGTTCTAATAACTATACGTTGCAACTTGCAAATTTATATCGTGCTATATTGTTTTTGTGGTTAATGTAGTCGATTGTGGTAGTTTGTTGTAATATGAGATGCGCGTTGAATACAAATTGAACCGTTTTAATTAGTCACACTCTGAAATAAATGTCTATGAGGAACTAAAAAAATCCTGCATGGTTTACTATATTTATTTTTTTTAGTTTTTCAACAATATGATTCCAAATTCTCAATTCACGATTCATATTTTTGAATTTCTTGAGGCAATTGTGTGTTAAATATTTGAGTGTTTCGCTTATGTATAGAATCAAAGGCCCTTACTATGTTATTACATGGGAATCTAAGCAATTACATAGGTAGAGTGAAGCGACACCCTGTATATGAGAATATTTCAATTTATTAATCTGGGAGATTATGTACGAATTAAGCACAGAGTTGGTTCGTTTCATTCGAATTTGTATCTGTGGTTGCCCGTTTAGAAATTTTGGAAATATCGATTTTTTTATTCAATTCGATATTAAGCGAAAATTAATGAAAACGTGGTTTATCGCTCTTAAATGATAAAGATGTTTCGAAAAATTGCGCATTTTATATTGGAGAAGTGAGGACGTTTCGTTGTGATTGGTAATATATTTGAAAATTCTTGAAGGAGGAGTTTATGGTGAAAGTGGTGTCTATTTAAATACGCGAATCAGCTGTTTAAACGAAACTGCTGCTGCTAGTTTCGCGGCAGTTGAAGAGCGTATTTTTTTTAATGGTAGTCAGCCTGTCGGAAATGAAATGTGCTGAAGCAAGGTAACCAAAGTGGTGTTTTAACGCGTGTTGTACAATTACGGAAAAGATTTTTTATTATACTTCATTGAAATCACCTTATTTACACCTGTATTAGAAATAATGGTATCTGGCCTTTTCCAGGCTAGCGCACGGAATAGTATATTCTATAACGAGTATGGAATAAGGTGTATTCCGCGCGAGTGAAAAGTTCGTCACACGAGCCGAAGGCGAGTGTGACGGTTTCACGAGCGTTGAATACCTATTCCTTACAAGTCATAGACATAATTTTTTCTACTACTACAACGAATTGTTGCGAAATATGTAAAATTCCGACCAGAGTTAGTGGTAGACAATCCACTAATAGTTCTGTATGCTGTGGGTAGGTATAACAAATCCATGAGGCATTTGAGCGACTCTCATTAGTCTAAATGACCCAGAACGAACGATTCACTACACATGCGAAAGAAATGTCAAAGGTTTGTTCGTTGTATTTCTGTTTAGCACAGACGTGTTTAGTAATCGAAAATGTACATATATTTGTTACGGTTAAAGTAGACATTTGGTAAATGTGCACATGTTAACACTACTCCCATTTGTATGTAAGTATAGACAAGCGTAACATTTTAGTTGGCATTACATTTTACTTTTTAGGTTAGTTTTCACGCTCCCCAAGGTAATGCCTACTGAGGAAATCTGTTCTGGTCCTGGATCACCAACGACTTATTGTTACCTGTTTGGATGTTCTTTTCGTATAGTGCTGTGAGGTATATTAATTGTAGCGATATGCAACTTCACACGTTTGGTTGTAGGTAGGTATAGCTACTCGTGGCTTATGTTCTTAGGAATGGACCTCAAGATAAACACGTGGCTTAAGCTGTTGTGAGTGGACCTCAAGATAAGACTTGTGAACAAAACGCTAAGTGTTTCGGGATCTGATGAGGATTGGATTGCTTTTTAAAAGGGCCTGCAACTTAGCGTAGCTGCTTGTGTCGACATTATTGTTCAAAAGTAATTTAGATCGTAACATGGGATACGTTTTGCACAATGTTGTAGATGCTTTAATTGCCTGTGATAATATAAGCCAACACTACGTTTTCTGAAAATAAGTGTGTTTTTTCCTCATCCCCCGCTCCAAAGATTTGTCCCTACACTGCTTTTGATTTTCTTTTCTGCTGCCGCGGTGATTTCCGGGGGAGTATTTGAAAATTGCATTGGACCACCACTGCTGCTAATTTGCGCTACAGGCAATTAAAATTCAAAATAACTGGCGTAAGTTTAATTAAAATTTTGACAGTTTATGAATTGTGATTTGGATATCATTAATAGATGTCGCCACATGTGCTCATTCCACATAGATATATAAATACCTAGATACAGCCATCCTTAACAAACGTACCTCGGTTTTTAAAAAACATATCAAAGAAATTTGTACATCTCTCCATTACTTTCTAACCAAGATGAAACATGTTCTATCTCTTTTTATTGCATTAACCACTATGTCGTACGCGAATCGGACGCTTAAAACAAACTTAGCGCGTCCCATAAGTCATGTGACAGTTGACACATTTCACGATAGCGCGAAATCCAATCTAACTAAAAATATTCGCCCTAAACATGATGGGCGGTTTTTTCACTAAATATTATGTAATTATTGCGTTATCAATTGAATACGAATAACATTAGTGCTTGCCATAATGATAGACGCGTCCATAATTGTTATTCCTGAAATAGTTTTATTACATCGAGCTACGCCATTCAAATTTGGGATAATGTTTACCCTGTTTGGCATGATGTGCTGCATTGAATTCATTGCTGGCTTGCAGAATATCAAAAAAACCGTAAGTAAGTAAAGTTTATGTTCAACATTTTAATTTTAATTGCATGGTTTTAGGCGTAATGGTAAAGGAAATTGTTGCGACAGGAAGTGAATTCGTTTCCAATTATTATTTTGGCCTATATGATGTTGATGCAGTGCGTTTATATCATGATCACAAAGAAGGATCCGTCCAATATTCTTAGGAAAACGAGTTTTTAGACTGTGTGTGCGTGCAATATCAAATTTTGGTCGCTACGCGTCTTGCCTACCTTTCGGCATATGTCCATTCGGTGGGGTTTCTTTTTGAAATTATAGTACTAATTGTAGTAAGTAAGCTACACGTGTACATTTATTTAAAATAAATACAACACCTTAACAATGATATCCAATTGGTGATAATACTCATTTAGTGAACATTCATTACGTTTGTAAAAGCTCACAATCCGAATCATCGTCAGATGAAATTGACAAATTCGAATCATCACTGTCATTATTAACACTTATTATAAAGTTCAGCAACATCAACCAAATATAACTTCTCTTTTAAATTAATCACTTTCCACATGTTCACACACTTTCTTCCAGTTGTCAGCTGTAATTTTTTCAAATTCTTCATTTGCCAGCTTTATAAGTAACATCTTCCATTTTAAATGTAACATTTCTTGCTGCTATGCGATTTAAATAAATAAAAAGGCGGTTTATTTATGTTGTAAAGTCTCAAATCTGATAATTTTCTGTGTGATTTGTGCTAACAATTTGATTGACAGTTATAATAAATAATGCGAATCTTGTCTTCCATGCTCAGGGTACCTCTATAAAGGATAGCGCTATACGTAATTAATGTGCCGAAAGTGATGGTAATAGATGGTACGTCCTTTTGAACTATGTTGGGGTATGGCTGTATCTATGTATTTATATATCTATGTCATTCCATCACAGAATGAAATTATTCCACTTCAGTATAACAGAATAGGCGACATTCTGTTGTTAAAAGTATGGCAAGTATGAAGCGATTCTAAAGTAGTAGTAGAAAAAAACTTTTCTCTGTTTTGCGTTTATAATGACAGGATTCCGATATCAAAAATAGTACTGGAATGAGTTTCATTTCAACACTATTTTTGGTAACTATTTTCCACAACTGACAGATTTTTAAGAACATTTGGTATTCAGTGGTTGGCATGTTCGTCTAAATCATCCAGGCTGATCATATACGCGAATGTTCAATTCAAAGTTCTGCCTGGATGATTTAGACGTTAATACTTATCTCAACGGTTTAGTAAAATGTGGACTAATTTCACTTATTGTTATAACATTATGTTACAGTTATTAACGTTACGGGTAATTGAAATCATTAGGTATTGAAAATTCAGTGTAGGTACTTAGAGAAATCCACATTTAATACAAATGAGGTTTTATAACCTAACAAAATTACAAAACTAATCTTTGTCACTAAATGTACAATTATTATAAACTTTTAGAATTATTGTGGAATTATTGCCTGGTAGCAAATTATGAACAGTCCGAGGAACAGTCTCTTCTGCTAACTGTCGAAGCTCTGGAGGAGTGGAAGGAAGAATTTCTTCGCACATTATTCACTTTTTATTGAAAAAACTAAAATATACTGCACAAATTCGTATTTGACGCGCTTGTTAAATTGAATTTTTTCAAAATCTAGCGTAGCCAACTTAATTTCTTTATTGAAAAATTGTTGGTGTTGCCAACTTAATTTCTTTATTGAAATATTTATTACAGAAATGTCAGAATTGTTAATTTTTTTAATACAATTAAAATGCTCAACAGAGAAAATAGTATAAAGCATATGTTGCAGAAGGCCTTTCTAGCACTCGTTCATTCGAACCTTCGCCGCTACGCGGCTCAGGTTCGAAACTTGAACTCGTGCTAGAATATAGCGCCTTCTGCAACTTATGCTTTAATATACTATTCTCTGTTTTGCGTTTATAATGACAGTATTCCGATATCAAAAATAGTGCTGGAATGAGTTTCATTCCAACACTATTTTTGGTAACTATTTTCCACAACTGACAGATTTTTAAGAACATTTGGTATTCAGTGGTTGGCATGCTCGTCTAAATCATCCAGGCTGATCATAATACGCGAATGGTCAATTCAAAGTTCTGCCTGGATGATTTAGACGTTAATACTTATCTCAACGGTTTAGTAAAATGTGGACTAATTTCACTTATTGTTATAACATTATGTTACAGTTATTAACGATACGGGTAATTGAAATCATTAGGTATTGAAAATTCAGTGTAGGTACTTAGAGAAATCCACATTTAATACAAATGAGGTTTTATAACCTAACAAAATTACAAAACTAATCTTTGTCACTAAATGTACAATTATTATAAACTTTTAGAATAATTGTGGAATTATTGCCTGGTAGCAAATTATGAACAGTCTCTTCTGCTAACTGTCGAAGCTCTGGAGGAGTGGAAGGAAGAATTTCTTCGCACATTATTCACTTATTGAAAAAACTAAAATATACTGCACAAATTCGTATTTGACGCGCTTGTTAAATTGAATTTTTTCAAAATGTAGCGTAGCCAACTTAATTTCTTGATTGAAATATTTATTACAGAAAATGTCAGAATTGTTAATTTTTTTAATACAATTAAAATGCTCAACAGAGAAAATAGTATAAAGCATATGTTGCAGAAGGCCTTTCTATAGCGCCTTTCTATAGCGCCTTCTGCAACTTATGCTTTAATATACTATTACTGCAGATATCTAGGTTTCCATGGCGAACAAAAGATGGCAGGATTGTTTAAAATGACAATTTATTGGTGATTTGGCAGTTTTTATTCGTTCCAAATATTTTAATTTCAAATAACACACAAAAAACAAAGGACGTGAAAACTCTAAATAATATAATATAGAACTAAATAATGTAGATAACCAAGAAATTGCCGTTTTAAACAATCCTGCCATATTTGTCCGCCATGGAAACCTAGATCACCTAGGATGTCTGCAATAAAAATATTCTAATAGATAAAATGCAATATTCGAGTTAAACCAAACACCCTGTATAAAAACTGTGTATCGCGATGGATTCTACATAATTAGGTGCTCTAACAAAGATTTTCTTTTTAAAATTGAGCTCCTGACATTCTTAAAATAAAGGGCATTACTATAAGAAAGTGCCCAACTTGGATTTGGTTCAACTTCGTGGCTCACCAATGGGATCTCCGTAATGGTGCGAGATACAGCAAGGGTTAAATGGGGATAAAGCTTCCCCTTTCTGTAATTAAAAAACGCATTTGAAATTCATGAAAAATCTTTGAAAATAACTGAGAATCACCGAAAAACTTAAAATGTCATTTCGTAAAAATCCAATATGGCGAAATACAGTAGTACACTGTAGCTTCTACATCTAGCGTTTTATGAAAATTCCGATAAATTCAGATTCTTCGAAAAAAAAGTGTCAAAAAAGATGCGAACGAGAACCCTCCATTTTACACACGTAAGTTTCAATTGTGCGCCTTTTGCATTAAATTTTGTTCTAAATTAGAGGCAAATTTTTGGCTTTTGTCACAAATAGTACTTGGTAGATTACTAACTGTTCGATTTTGGAAACCTTAATCAGCTGATCTTCCATTTGAAGTAAATTAATTAGCTCACATCGACGTCGTACCACCTCAAGTCCTCTTAAGATATTTCTAAAAATAACCCAATTATTGTACAATAGAAAGTCGCTCCTTCATACCGGAAGGGATTTGAACAAAAAGCGACCGCAGCTTCCGGGCAACAAAACGCGTAGTATTTCCCATCAATTCGCAAAACGCCCATATTGGGATTCGCCGGTATCAGCCCGCCGCCGGTCTCCACGAACTTCCAAGCGCAAAACCCGAGGTACTAAAATTTTCAGAGAATAATTTCCCATTCGAGTGCGAGAAGTTGGGACACCTGAAGCTCGATTCGTTCAAAGTCGGATACGTCCGACGGATAGACGATGGGAGCGTCCGCGCTTGTCTGTCTAATTTTCAGTTGCGTTGTTTTCTCTAATCGGTCCGCGTCAGAGATGATACTGGAGGGGCCGAGCATTAAGCGAATCACATCCTCGGTAAAGTTTGTACGTTCGACCTCAAAATGGAGGTTTAGCAGCATTTGGTTCAGTTGAGATAAGGCTATGGTTTGATTTTGCAGACGGTACCATGCGTCGGCAACCTGGGAGAATAGTGGCTGAAAGTAGTTTGTGTACCATCTATGGGGTTAAAGTTAGTACCATACAAAAACTTGGATTGTTGGAATCGCAGTTCTAAAACTGACCGAGTTGTGCACTTTAGACAGAAGATCTTTTAATTTTTCAATGGTACTCTTTG